AGTTGTTTTGAGTCCCATATGTTCTTCAGTTGTAGGAGTGCTGTTCTTGCTTTGCAAATCATCGCCTTTACGTCTGCATCTGATCCTCCTTGTTCATCGATGATGCTTCGCAGATATATGAAGGATTCTACATCTTCCAGAGTTTCGCCACCAAATGTGATTGGATTGTTGTTCTCCGTGTTGTATCTGAGGACTTTGGTTTCCCCCTTGTGCATGTTAAGGCCTACTGATGTAGAGACTGCTGCTGCACTAGCTGTCTTTATCTGCATTTGTTCGAGTGTATGAGATAGGAGGGCTAGGTTATCTGCGAAGTTCAAATCATCTAATTGGTTCTGAGCTGTCCATTGTATGCCGTGGAACGTAGAACGTATGAAGTAATTATACTTTTGCTTTAGTGTTAGTTTCCACACACTGGGGATAAGATCTATTACATGTCACTTAAAATTCCAATGTGTTATACACTAAACTGTTGAAAGCAGATAATCATAATATTTTTGACTTTGATCATGAATCGATTGATGTTAGACTACCATTGAAAACCTAAAAGTACTGGATAACCAATTCAACCTAGTATGGGACTCCTCAGTAGTGCATACGCAACATCCAAACCCAGAATCTTCGGTCTGGCGCGCAAACGCTTAACTTCTAAACTACTGAACCGGCTGACCGGAAATCAATCCACAAACATTGGTTGGTTCATGATCTCAATGAAAAACTCATCAATCTCCACAATCCCACTACTGATAATCATGAAATTGTCTAATAAGAATGAATATTACTTTTAAAAGTTTGAATAATCCCATTATTGATATGAAAAACTTTAATTGACCAGTTTGTTTTGCCGTATGTTGATCGTGAGCGGATCATTTCCATTAGTGGCTAGTAATACAGTTCAAAACATGCGTTTCCTCCTAAATTCACTTTTTATTCTTTACTTGTATCTTCCAGTTGTTGTTTAGGACTGAAATAGATCAGTCTCTTATTGGCATATGTACATCGTGTGCGGACTACCTCGATATTGTCTTAATTCACAAAGTTTATAAGTAAAGATAGATAGTGGCAAGTAGTGGAATCCAGGACGCGCGTTTCGTCCTATTTCGGACTCATCAGCTGAATGTACTCGCATCTGGAGGACTTGTTAGCTTCAAACGCCATCTCATTATCTACTTACCTACTAAGCCCTCATAGCCACTTACCTATGTAATGGAGTGAAGTTTAATATCACTTGAATCTTCCCATTGATATTTAAGACTGCAATTGATCAATTATATTCACTTACAAAAGTAACAGAAAAATATATACCTTTACAAATTCAAAAAACATTCAATAGAGAGAAGATTATTTTGATTGGTAGAATAGAATGATACTCCACATATCATTACTTGACCAATCAACATCGAGGTGCACAGAACAAGCTGTGAAACGCATATGGAGAAATTCGAACACTTCACTTCTATCTGAAGTTTGTGCTGATGATGTCGTTCAGAAGAACGATGAAAGCTCCACGACCAAACCATCCAGCTCAGAGAACAAAACTCCATCAAAATCATCCACCTGAGCTACAAATCTTCTCTACCATCTCATTACTTGATATGTTTAATTAAAATATTCAAGAGGTATCACGACGATAGTTTGTATGGTTCTCTTCCTCATCCTTAAGATAGTGGAGATGATTTGTAGCTTAGATGGAATTTTGTTCTTTGAGCTGGATAGTTTAGTGGTGGAGAAATTTGAACACTTCACGTCTATCTGAAGTTTGTACTGATGATGTTGTTTAGAAGAACGATAAAAACTTCACGATCAAACCATCTAGCTTAGTGAACAAAATTCCACCTTCTTCATCTTTCTCTATCTTTTATTGAAACAAAAAGTGATTATCATGGAATTTATACACCATATATATGTTTTCAGAACTGTAAAGAGATTTCATGAATTCATTAGTGTTCAGTAACATTTACAGTTGTATATCAATGACTGTTAAATATAGAATCTTACTAAAATCCGAGAATCATAAAGTAAATACTTCATTTGTCAATATGTCAATCAATTGTTTCAGATTTCAATGTTCTTTTGTTTCCACCCCAATCATTCTTTGTTCCCATTTACTTTTCTTTGATGTTCTCAACTTTCTGTCACCACCAGGCATTTCACATACTACTTATATCTGTCGACATCAGTAGCACAGACACACCCCCACCACATGAAGTTTCAAGATTGTTGACTAACATAAAAATGTCATGAATTCCCCCTGTTATATTCTAATATAGCACGTGATAGATTGTAGGAACCATGAATGAAGACATGAGGGGACTTTTATTTTACCCAATAACAGTTGGATATAATATCACTAAGTAGTGCATTCAACACCTTGTATACCCAATGGGTAATCAGACCCTTACATAATAATATTACATCGATTGCATCAAGTACATCATAGTACATAACACAAATAGAGAATTACAATTTGTATATAACTAGATCATTATTAATATAAAACTGAGTAACGAATGCACTATAGAACTAATGATGATTTATAATAAATAATAAAACATATATATTGATAGTTTATGAGTTCAATGAAAGGTTACATCATAAAGGAATAATCATTACATAATAAAAGAAACATTTCTTAAATAATCAGTTCCCTATGGAATAGTTTCCGATATTTTACTTATTTGCATGTATTTAGAAGAACATCAGTTGAAATGATTCAACCTTGTCTTTTCGACTGAGATCATGAACCGATGGATGTTAGATCACCGTTGGAAGTCTGGAAGCACTGAACGGCCGTTTTGTCCTATTATGGGAGTCTGTAACAGTGCGCATCCACCACCTCGCTCGCGGGATTCGAACCCAGGGCCTTCCGTCCCGCGCGTGAACGCTTAACCTCTCGACCACTGAGCCAGCTGGAATCCAACGATGTTAATGTTTAACATCAACCAATCTACGAAATTGCGCGTCCATCTTTCATTGTAGTGAGATAGATACCTGTCTCTACCCGACACGGTTTAGCTCCACTAGTCACGGCTTCTCGCTAGAAATCCGAGAATTCCCTCATGAAGCTAGTCACTAGTGAGTACATGTTAATTATCAGTATTGGGATTGTGGAGATTATTAAGTTTTTCATTGACGTCATGAACCGATCGATGTTAAACAACGGTTGGAACTTTTCTGCTGACATATCCGGTGATCGCTGATTGTTATTTTAGAATCAACATGAAAGTAAGAACATAAAGACTGATATAAGTGAAGATGAATTAACCCTATTTGAGGTTTCCCCATGTGGGTTCGAATCCCATTACCCATCATCAGTTGTTATATTTTTAAAGATTAGATTCTTAATATAACACGTATAACTTGAGCAACTCGAGTGCTATAACTCATCAAGTTGCAAATGAAAAGACAGAAGACAAATAAAAGGAACGCTATTCCAAACAACATCAATGATGGCACAAAACTGTCAAGTGAATGAAATCATCATAATAGTCTTCCGATCAGCATACAGGGGGTTATTAGCATTTGTTCAATAGAGAAGCTACAGGTGAGGATTCTGTAATATTCTTCCAAAATGTGGTTAGATGGAATATCTTTGGCTCTTTCTGAGTTTCTTAGAGCTTCCTCGAGTTCACTCGTGGACCGTCTTCACATTTTTCGAAGGAAACACACAGTCGGGTAAATTATAGGTGAGCAGTAATATTGCAGTGAACGTATGCTCAGGTGAGTAATACTAATTCATTGTTTAATGATCGATATTGGGTTGTGGAGATTGTTGAGTTTTTGATTAAGATCATGAATTGATCAATGTTAGACCACCACTGAAAACCTGGAAGCATAATCATACAGTGATTTAGTAAAATGTGAATATCATACATCAAACACATGAGTTACACAACTTTGAATTGTTTCTTACAAGCTTTATTGTTCCTTCATTCCTGTTTTTATCTTGATTGCTTCCAGTTTCTTTCTCTCTTCTCTTTATTTCATTCTTCCGAACCTGCTAATCGCAGACATTTCACTTCCCTGTTTTGTGTTACATACTACTTTTAACTACAAACATAAGCAGGATACACCACAACAATGTACAAGTAAATATGAAAATCAAGACAATAGCTGGAGCGAAATTCAAACATCCACTTAGTTCAATAGAATTTTGGGATTATAGCTGATGTCAGTTTGTAATGAAAATCCTAAATATAACTTTTAACCTAAACCATCAACTGTAAATCATAACTCTAACTGCTTTATAACTATCAGTATAGGGGTTGTGGAGTTTATTAAGTACTTTGATTGAGATCATGAACCGATTGATGTTAGATGACCGTTGGAAACCCGGAAGCATCGAACGGCCGTTTTGCTCTATTGTAAGACTCCTTAGTAGTGTGTATCCACGATCACGCTCGTGTGATTCAAACTCAAGGCCTTCATTCTTGCGTGCAAACGCTTAACCTACTAGACCATTGAGCCAGCTGGAATCCAACAGTGTTAATGTCTGACCTTCACCAATCCACAAAATTGCGCGTCCATCTTCCAGTGTACTGAGGTAGGTACCTGTCTCTACCCGACAAGAATTAGCTCCATCGATAACGGCTTCTCACTAGAAATCCCAGAATTCCTTCACAAAGCTAGTCACTAATGAGTGCCTATTAAAGACAGGTATCTACCTCAGTACAATGAAAGATGGTCGCGCAATTTCGTGGATTGGTTGATGTTAGACACTAACACCATTGGATACCGACTCAGTGGTCCAGTAGATTAAACGTTCGTGAGCGGGATCATGAATGCTCACTGCTGAGGAGTCTCACAGTAGGGCGAAACGGTCGTTTAATGCTTTCACGTTTTCAACGGTGGTCCAACATCAATCGATTCATGATCTTAATCAAATGCTTTATAACTCTCATTTAGTTCTAATCAGTAGGGGATCACTCTTAAGGTCACTTCAGCGTCACCTATAGGTCATGCATAAATTATAATCTCACCCTACATATTTATTTTGGTTTCAGGTGAACATTTAGATGAAATTCGTGAAATTGAATTTGTACACAATATGAGAGAAATGATCAATGGTGAATATCGTCATGAAATTGATCAATTTGGATGGACATTTTTTAAAGCTATAGAAATTGATAATAGCGGTTTTATATCACAAGCATCATATCGTATATTACAAGAAGCATGGCATGTTGGACGAGATGAAGCTGAAGGAATGTTTAAAGTAAGTATAAATTAACAAATAAATATTATAATTAGAGAGATGTTTTGTGGATATTATAGTACAATGAGTAGTTGAATTTATGAGTTAATTGAAGCTGGAACACCGTGAAAAGTTTGGTTGCATTGGACGACCGTTTCATCCTAGTATGAAACTTTTCAGCAGTGGGTATTCACAAGCTCGCACGTAAAATTCGAAGCCAAGACCTAACAGTCTCGTGAGCGAACGTTTAACCTCTACACCACTGAGTTGGCCGATATTCAACTGTATTAATGTCTAACTTCAATCAATCCACAAAATTGAGCCACCATTTACCATTGTCTTCAATGAGTTACTATCTCACAACTGACCTTGTTGAACTGGTAGGTTCTGGGTTCGAATCTTGAGGCGGGACTATGGATGCACAATGTTGAAGAGACCTATAATAGGACAGAACGGCCGTTCAGTGCTTCCAGCATTTCCATGGTGGTCTAGCTTCAATTGTGTCATACATTCAACAATAAACTTAAATGAATCATCATGTTACACTTTAATGATCACACAACAAAGTTAATTTACTCTTAGCAGTTCATCCTTATTCAGTTACTGTTGGATACTATTTTCTAATCCTAAAAGTTGGTTAATGGATTATGACTAGACTAGATTACTCTTTCTTATCATTAAGGATAATGTCCTGTTAATGAAGTGCAAAATGATCACGAACAAAATGCTGAAACACAAAATGATGATCAATCAACTAAAGAGCCTTAATTCTATCAGATTCCAAGGATGTTTCGAACAATGTATTTAATCTACAATTGAGACTAAGAGCCTTCTGTGAAGTAATTCTTAGGTTTGTTTCACATTCGAAACACACATTTATTGCTGTACTAAAGTATAGAATATACATAGGAGAACTAATGATACTTGGGTAATGTTCATATTCATTATTAACAGTAAAGTATATGAGTTTAGTTTCTATCATAAAAGTGACCTAAATAAATAAGGTGGGTGGATAGGACACACATCGAGGAAAGCACCTAACTGTGTTACAAGACAAGCCCTCACATGGAATCCTCAAGGCCAAAGGAAAAGAGAAATACCAAAGAACACACTACGCCGGGAAATAGAGATAGACATGAGAAAAATGAACAAGAATTGGATGGAACTAGAAAAGAGGGTCCAGGACAGAGTGGGTTGGAGAATGCTGGTCGGCGGTCTATGCTCCATTAGGGGGTAACAGGCGTAAGTAAGTAATAAAAGTGACCATTTCACTTACTAATATATATACCCTAGAACTCATTTCAAAATTATTGAATTTTATCAATCATAAGTAAACTAGTTTATTGGTTATTTGTAATATTATTGACATGATCTTAACCAATCGAGAGAAGAAATAAACAATTTCGAGGGGCGGACGAATAATATTAACATTATATTTATTATTCTAACTATTGTTATCTTCCATGAAAACCGGTTGGGCCCATACATTTGCCCTCAAATGCTCTGGTACGGCGTAGGGGAGAGTTAGCTGTCCCTCTCGAAGGGCTCTCACATGGCCACGTACATACAACCACTGACAGGGAAGTGCTACTTACTACCTTCTTGCCACTAGGGTGTTTTTACGAAATTGAAAGGATGAAAATAGAATATCCGGTGCTTTAACCTGGTCGGTGGACACGGATGATCCACCTAGAAGAGTTGGAAAACCCTGATTCCAAACCAATGGTGCTCATGGGCCCCGGTATTCTGAAGGAACAAATGGCTTGTGAACCAATTATTTGTCACCGGATACCATGGAACTACATTTCTTGACGTTGCACCACTGCATTGTGGATTAGACCTCCAAGTGAAATAATCGGGGAGTTCTTCTTTAAGAAAACCACTTGCTTCGGTTCGGGCGTTCCGGTAGTACCACAGCCCACACATAAATCAAGTGACTTGTGTATTGCATATATATTTGGTGCCTTCTTACACCAATATTTATGTATTCAAATAAATCAATAATAAAATCCATGAATGCCATCTTCAACTTATTTATGTTTAAGAATTCCAGCTAGTTAACATCAGTCACCTAACATCCTGGTATTATGTACATATTATTGTGTTATCAACACTAATGATTGAGGTTCTATTGACTGACAGAATTTAATCCACATCAAATAAATTAGACGAACATGTTACAAATCACTAATTTACAATCGATCAATATAAATACCTTCAACCTGCATGAGGTCAGAATCTTCTCAAACACTTCTGTAATATGATTGAAATCATGAACCGATTGATATTAGACTACTGTTGAAAATGTGAAAGCACTGAACAGCCGTTTCGTCATATTGTGGCACTCCTAAGCAGTGTGCATCCACAATCCCGCCCACGGGATTCGAACTCAGTGCCTCCAGTCTCGCGTGTGAACGCTTAACCTAATGGACCACTGATGCGGTATCCACTGGTGTTAGTGTCTAACATCAACCAATCTACAAAATTGCGCGACCATGTTCCATTGTACTGAGGTAGATATCTGCTTCTACTCGACACGGATTAGCTTCACTGGTCACGGCCGTTCAGTGCTTCTAGGTTTCCAAAGTTAGTCTAACATCAATCGGTTCATGATCTCAATCAAAGTACTTAATAATCTCCACAACCCTTATACATGTGTAATACTTTCAATTACTGTAATATTGAGTGACACATGAATAAACCGCATAAAATACATCAATCCCTTGAATACGTTTATATTATCTCACTTGGAATTTTGAAGTGAAATGGAAAAAAAGGAAAGTCAAAGAACACATTATATTGTGAAATAGAATCAAATATGAATAGAATAAATAACAACTGGAAAAAATTAGAAAGGATTATCTAGTACAGGGTTAAATGGACAGTACTTCTTGGCAGCATATACTCCTCCACAAGGAGTAACAGGCGTAAGTAAGTAAGTAAGTAAGTAAGTAAGTAAGTAAGTAAGTAAGTAAGTAAGTAAGTAGGTAAGTAGGTAAGTAAGTAGGTCAGTAAGTATGTAAGCAAGTGAGCAAGTGAAGTGAGTGAGCAAGTAAGTAAGTAAGTAAATGGGTATGTAAGTAAGTGAGTAGGTAAGTAGGCAAGCAAGTAAGTAAGTGAGTAGGTAAGTAAGTAAGTAATTAAGTGAGTAAGTAATTAAGTGAGTAAGTAGCTAAGTGAGTAGGTAAGTAACATGTAAGTAAGTAAGTGAGTAAAGTAAGTGAGTGAGCAAGTAAGAAAGTAAGTAGGTATGTAAGTAAATAAGTAGGCAAGTAGGTAGGCAAGTAAGTAAAGTAAGCAAGTAAGCAGTGTAAGTAAGTAAGTAAGTATGTTATCTTGATAAAACGTCAAATGTTTTCTCACTTAATCTTTTTTTCTTTTCTTTTCTTTTCTTTTTACTTTTCTTTTTAAATCATCTACAATTATAGATATTAGATAGTGATAAAGATGGTAAAATTAGTAGTGATGAATTTCTTACAGCATGGAATGAATTTTTTCTTAGTGAAGATCCACATAGTCCATATAGAATGTTTTTTGGTCCTGTTATATCACGTCCTACAGAAGCAAGATAAATCAATCAATCAATCAATCAATCAATTAATCAATCATTCAATTTAATCAATAATCAATAATAATTTATTCTATGATATAATAATATTATCACATATATTGATTATTATTATTATTACTATTGTTGTTGTTTATTTATTTTTTCTTTTCTTTCAATTATCTTTAAATCAATAATAGTTGTTTCAAAACAAAAATAGAAAAAAATTTAAAAAGAAAAAATAGAAAAAAAAATTATAGATCAGAGTTCATTTATTATTCTTGATCTTTATCATTAATGTTTAGAATACTCATTCATTTGAAATAATTGATAATATCAACACAAGTATTGCCTAGTAACAAACATATATACATACATACATACATACATACATACATATATATATATATATATAGCTGATAAAATGGAATACTTTTCTTTTAAATTAGATATCTCTTTGAATAATCATAAAGTTTTATTATCTTTCTATATATTGAATTAATTATCATTTGTTTTTTTGTTTTTTGTTTTCTTTTAAATGTAGCGCATAAATTTGAATGTTCAGTATTTCCCTCTCTTTTTTTTCATGTTTATTTTCATTCATTCTATTTAAAGCTTATTCATTGAATAATGATATATATATATATATATATATATATATATATATTAAAGAGAAAAGTTAAACAAACAACTACTTAATTAATGAATTAGTAATATAATGCATGCATTCTATGAGTAATTAAGTAAAAGTATTCAATAATTAAATTATATTAATATATATAAATATATTTATTTTAAAAAAGAAATAGAATAACTTATATTAATTTAATCATTGAATTCATGTGTTGATTGAAACTAGATCAGTATGGAAAATATGGAAGCAGTGGATAGAAGTTTTATGGAGCCTTTTGAGTTCGTCAGTGGTGGATGGCTCAACACTAATTTGTGGGGCCCGTTATTTTGTTGTCGTTTAGATTAGACGATGTTGCTGAAAGGCTCTTCACTTTAGTAACCCATGATCTGACTTTAAATACATTGTATAAATGTTTGCTATCACCTATCGTCGTATATAATCATTGACTTAAATCGTGTTAGTTAATAACTGAATTAAATAAGTCAAATAACGAGAATGGACTTTTGGATACATATATTTTGTATGGTCGTTGATCCAGACAAATGAACGAGGAAACGATCAGAAGAGAAGAAAGCAAAGTAAAAATGATGCGCGATGGAGATGGCTGGTAAGCCAACTCCCCGTTTAACCAAGTGTTAATCAATATTTATAGTTCTTCAAAAATAAGTTACAGACATGTGATGAGTAATGGGATAAAAAGTGTACATACACTTACACGCTCATATAAAGACAGTCAAAATATTGATAAGCGAATAATTAACAAGGTCAGAATGTGACTCAAATACAATAAATAGAATGGGCTGTCCGGAAGTTAGAATAAGGTATTTGGGCTTTACATAATAACAAACACTACATTTTTGTCCTAATATGAGACACTTCAGCACTACACATTGACGATCTCGCTTCTTGAGATTGGAAACCCGAAATCTATCAATCTTGCGCGCGAGCGCTAAATCACTAGGCCATTAAGCCGGTTGACATCCAACGGTGTTATTGTCTTACTTCAATTAATCCACGAAATCGCGCTACCGTCCACCATTAATTTCAGTGGTGGTGGTGGTGGCGGTCGTACTGGTTTCAAAAATCACGATTTGTGATCATGTATGCGCACTGATGACGAGTCTCATAGTAGGACGATACGGTCGTCTAGGGCTTTCAGGTTTTCTATGGTGGTCTAGCTATATTTGACTCTTGATCTCAACTATTAAAATAAATGAATTTATTTTAGAAAGAATACAATACTTTATATTAATTTAATAGTTGAATTCATGAAGCACTGAATGACCATCTCGCCTCAGTATAGGACTCCTCAGAAGGGCTCATCCATAATCCGAGCTCAGGACCTTCGGTCGCTCGCGTAAATGCTTAACCTCTAGACCACTGACTTATCATGCAGCGATGTCAATGCCTAACTTCGATGAACACAGGAAATCGCACCACCGTCCACCATTGTCTTCAATGAGTTACTATCTAACAATGGATCCTGTTGAACTTCACTGGTCACGATTTCTCACTAGAACTCCAGGAAATACGTCTTAGAAACTTTTACTAGAGAGCATATGATGATTATAATCAGGGAGGGTTGTTATAGAATATTATACTCATTTAATAGTCGAATTCATAGGACAATTGAAGCTAGACTACCATTAAAAACCTGAAATCACTAGACAGCCGATTCGTTTTATGATGGAACTCCTCAGCAATGCTCATCCACGATCCCGTTTCGCGGAATACGAACGCAGGACATATCGGTTTCCGGTGCGAAATCTTAATTTCTACACCACTAAGTGGGCATCCATTATAATAATTATTAATACTACTGTCGCTTTGTTTGTTTATTGTGTGTGTGTGGGGGGGGAGAGAGAGAGGGTTCATGGTTGCTTTGCATTAACATATGTATGCCACATCTTTGGTTATGTCAGTAAAATTAAAATATACTGAATTCATTATGTGATCAGTAGGTATATTATAAGTTAAAATTTAAAGAATAATGAATGAGACTATAATCTATGGAAGCCTAAGTGACTTTAAGAAGTTTCACTTACTAACTGGGATCTAATGAGGTTTATAAATTGTTGTGCGAAATGACGATTAGGGGTCAAGTGTTAAGATTAGGAATTATAGTTAGTGTTTTCAACACAAACTAACATCAGATACAATGCAAAAATTCTACTTAGTCATGTGAATCAATTGATTTCGCGCCAAAATTCAAGGCTCATCCATAAATCCTCGTCTCGCCGAGCAATGTGTAGTCCTAGTGTGGTGTGTGTTACTGATGTCGACAGATATAAGTAGTATGTATTATCAGTTTAAAGTGAAATACCTAGAGGCAAAAGGTTAAGAAGATCGAAGAGAACGGAACGAGAACAAAGGGTGATTGGTATGGAAATGAAGGAATATCAAAGCAGCACTTAGAGACCTTCCTATAGATGTCACTCCACCAACGACGGAAGAAATCAGGATAGCCATCAGACAAATCAAGAGCAGGAAAGCAGAAGAACCTGATAATATAAGAGCAGAGGCACTGAAGTCAGACATAGAAGTAACTACAAGCATGCTTCACATTCTATTCAGGAAGATTTGGGAGGAATAACAAGTGCCTATGGACTGGAAAGAAGGACACCTCATCAAAATTCCAAAGAAAGAAGATCTGAACAAATATGAGAACTACAGAAGAATCAAACTACAATCGGTATCAGAAAAGGTTCTTAGCATAGTATTGTTGAACCGCATGAAAGAATAAGTAGGTGCCCAACTTCGAGATCAACAGGCTGGATTCCGTAAGTATCGTTCGTGCACAGAACAAATCGCCACACTATGGTTCTTCGTTGAGTAATCAATTGAATGAAATTAGTCACTAAACATGGAATTCACTGACTGAGAGAGAGCATGTAACAGCATGGATAGAAAGACACTATGAAAGCTTGTTTGACACGATGGTGTACTTGAGAAAATTGCCAACATCATAAGGAATTCATAAGACGGGCTGCACTGCGAAGTAGTGGATGGAGGATAGTTGTCAGATACATTTCAACTAAGGACCGGTGTCAAAAGGCTGCTTACTCTCCGCTTTACTCTTTCTTCTGGTGGGTGGCTGGATTATGAAGCCCTCGACAGCTGAGTGAAAGCTCGGAATACAATGAACAGCTTGGATCCAACTTGAGGTTTAGAATCTGCACATGACCTAGCTCTTCTATAACATACGCACGAACGAATACCCGTCAAAACAACCAGCATAGCAAAGGCCTCTGCATCTGTCAGCCTACACATATACAAGAGAAAAAGCAAGATCCCCAGATACAACACATAGAGCACCAACTCGATAGCACTTAATGGAGAAACTCTGATAGATGTGCTAACTTTCACGTACGTGGATGGCATCGTCAATCAATAAGGAGGATCTGATATAAATGTGAAGGAGTGAATTGGCAAATTAAAGGCAACATTCCTACAGTTGAAGAACATATGCAACTCCAAATAACTATCTGTCAACCAATATCAAAGTCACAATTTTCAATACGAATGTCAAGACAGTTCTACTGTATGGAACGGAAACTTAGCGAACCAATTGATCTATCATCAGAACATTATAAGTATTTATAAACAATTGTGTATGCAAAATACACCAGATACTTTGGCCGGATACCATTAGCAAGAGCCTACTGTGGTAGAGGAAAAACTAACTGCCAGCCGAAAAGGAAATTAGGAAAAGACGTTGTAGGTGAATAGAAGATTCATCGTGAAAAACACGAAAATGCACCACGAGGTAAGCCATGACTTGAAGTGTTTAAGTTTAAAAGAAAAGATTGAGTCTGAAATCGGACGGAGGCATCGAAGTAATGAATAGCAATTGGAAAAATATGGAAAGGAGATCACAGGACATAGTAAGTGTGAGAATCTTGGTGGGTGGCCTATGCTTCTCCACGGGGGACAATATGCTTAAATAATTAAGTCACTGAACATCCCATTGATAGAAGTTTGGAGTTTAATCGATATAGTTTGCCGAACCAAATACATCTAAGCCAGAGGATTTACTTTTTATGCCGAACTCAAAAAAAATCCATACTTATTATCACTCTGTTTAACAGACCAACTAGTCAAGATAACATTCTTTGCATTCTTGTACTTTATAATTCATTCATATGACTACAGAGCATTTCTTCGTAATATCCATTTGTGGAGAAAATCGTGACTCTATGGTGTGTGCTACTGATGCCAATATATATAAGTAGTATGTATCATCATCAATCGAAAATGAAATGTCTAGAGGCAGAAGGTTAAGAAGATCGTAGAAAAGTGAATGATTGATGTGAAATCGAAAGAACAATCAAGTCTGAGACAACTGATTGACATTTTACAAATGAAGTATTTACTATATGGTTCTCAGATTTTACTAAGAGATCCTGTTATTTCGCATTCACATATATTCACTTGTTCCCACTTGTTCTCGTTCACTAGATTTGGCGTCGTTGCCAAACAGGAGCGGGGAAGGAAGGGTGTTGTCCTGCGGATGCCTTTGCGGATCCGGAGCTGAGGTGTTAGTTAGAGCGGTCCAGTGCGGGTAGGTGACATCGAGTGTAGTGTTCTGGTGGTGGGGGAGGGAAGTTGGTTGTAGCGTATTAAAATATATTCGACTGTCCCCACTTGTGTTCTTGTTCACTTCAACTGTAACTCTGTAATCTTAATCTAAAATACTCGACTCTAACTACGGAAAATTTGATTACTATTCAAAATTTATTGGGGTCTTTTTAAGAAATTGAGAA